CTGTAGAGTCTCAGACAGATTTTAGGGTTTAGCAGACGCTTAAACTCACATTTTTAGAAACCAATTTTTACCCAGAAGATCACCAGCACTGTGATTATATACATTTTTAAAGCTCATTTTATTAACTGAGCAACTATTTACACAAATATAATATACTTTTAAAATTAAATTGTCAAAAATGGCCAGAAAATACAGATTTCTGCCAAAATAAGCTAACTTAACTGTGTGCTGTAATCCTGCTTGCATGTAAAGCTAAAGCTATCTCCACCTCTCACATGGGATTTCAAGCTCCCTCTAAAAAAGGAACCTGAATCAAGGAGACAGACACAGAGCTGCTGCAACAATTGAGAGCTTTGTTTATTGTTTATTTTGTGAATGTGCAGTTCAGATCTTAAGTCTGAAGTCGAGAAATAAACTCACCAATCAAGGTGAGCAGCACACAAACAATTCACATGGTTTTGAACTAAAAGGACTGTTTCTGTCAGTCTGGCAGCAGGTAAAGAGGTGAAAAGTTTATTTAGAAAAGAATCTAAATAAAGCCAGTGTATAAACAGATACTGAATCTATTAGGTGGCTAAAATCAGTTCACTGCTGAACATTTACCCAGCAGTACATAGTTTTAGTTTCTGGGGTTAATGTCGGTTTCAGAGAATTACTTTCTGTCATCCACTTGCAACATGTTTCTCTCAAGAAATAGCATCAGTCAGCCTGAGAATATTGAGATAGGTGATTGGGTGGATGTGCATATAGAGGAACAGCGATCACCTTTGGACTTCATCCTCCTTTTTCGTTTCCTGGAGGGCCGGAGCCATGCGCTGTCTGCTTTTGTTTTCTTTTTCAATTTTTTCTTCAGACTCGACTCTGTGCTCTGATGCAGGTGAGAGTTTGGCCACAGGGATGATTTTAAACAACAGAGAGAAACAAGAAAAACCCCCAAAACAAAACATCAATTCTCTTCCATTTTTAGCTAAAAGAGGTGGTATGAGATGCAGTTGGAGAAGTGCTGGCAAGCGGTCTTACCAAGTCAGATTCAGTGCCTTCCTCCTCCAACTCTTCCTCTCCAGATTCTTCAGACTCCTGCTCGTCTTTCACCTCCACCAGGAAAAGCAAACAGAATTCATCAGTAGCATTTAACACATAAGACTTTCACTGCAATGCATTGCATTCACAGTTATTCAGAGTTCCCACAAAGAAACAACCACACAAGGTTTCAAGAGAAGGAAACAACTTTTATTCTCCAACCTGAGCGATGGATTCAGAGGGTTCCTGCGCAGCACTTTCCGGTTCTTCTGATGGCTGCTGTTGTTCCTCCTCTTCAGACTCCAGATCTTCTGACTCTTCATCCTCAGATGCATTTCCCACTTTCTCCCCATTTATGCTGGCCACCTCTTTAGCCTGCAAGACAACAAACGGAAAAAAGTGGATGTAATGTCATATCTTAACAGCAGCACCTCAGCATTTCCGAGGTCATAAATGAACCTGAACAACTTCCCATTAACCTTACCATACCAACAGTCCTGGTCTGTTTTAAAAAAAAAAACTAGGAAAAGTTGTCGGAGACGTTGATTGAAATATGTTCTGTTCTCAAAAATGCAATAGCACATCTAATATATAGAGCTGGGGTCATATATGACGATTTTTAATTGTCTATGTCTCAGTGGACAATGATTGGAATAATTTATTCCACATGTGGCAATTTTTTCAACATTCAAGTGCAGAAAGTGCATGAGAAGCGTAAGACTGAAACACTGAATGTATGAGATGTGCCTCGAGAGGCTAAATGAATACGTGTTACGCTTTCTTTTAATTTTGCAAATTTTTGAAAAGATGAGAAGCTCAGACCTCTGGACTCTTGGCAGTCTGTTGTAGTTCCTTAAACATTTCCAGCACAGTTCTCTGCTTTAGCACTTTGGTTTTCTTCTTGGGAACCAAGCTGTACATTCCCATTCGCCTCTTCTTCTTACGGGATGACAGCGCTCCTGAGTAAGAGCCTAGAGCACAAGAGAACACCACATTTACAGCAGAGTGTTACCGCAGACAAACATTACACTCTGCTCCAATTTTTAGTGCATTAGCTTTTGTGATGTGTCGCTGGAGTCAGTCTAACCTAGCTGGAGCTTGGCTTGGACAGGAGCAGGAGAAGCCGAAGGAGCTGCCCGTTCTGCAGGAGCTGGAGGTGGCTGTGGTGGAGGAACAGGTGCTGGTGAAGCTGATGATGCAGTTTGTGCTGAAGATGGCGTATCTGGTGGACTCTGAGGTAGGTGGTTCTGAGAGGGTGACTGCGGTGAGGATTTCTGCAGGTCGGGTGCAACATGAGACTCCATTTTGGCACTCTTTGCTTCCCTTAATTCCCTGTTAAGAAGCTGCAGAGTGGCAAAAGCATTTAGGATCAATGTGTTACAAAAGGTTTCCTCATGGTTAGTTCTTGTTTTATTTTCTTGTTTTTAAAAACCAATTTCCATTCAAATGGATTTGTTCCAGCTCCAGGACCCCCCCACCCCCACTCGAATCATGGACTCCTTTAGAGCAGCTTAGCATGATTCAAGTACAAAATAATCCATATTTATCGTATACTAAGCCCTGGTTCAGCTGATCAGCTCATCCTCTGTCTCCTAACTTTAAACCTGTGCTCACAGTCAGAGCTGTGGCTCTGAGATGTCAACATAAGTGAAATCTGCACGCACTGACATCATAAAGAGCCAAGAACAGAAAAAACTCCCTCAAACTTGAGTTTGTAGAAGTAAACCAATTGAGCTACAAAGAGTGACTTCATTATCTGAAACTTTGGATATGCTTAATATAAGCATATGATTGTAACAGTATATTTATGGCAGAATAAGGAAAGTAAACAAGGCCCAATTTTATTTTATTTTTTAAATAAAACCTAAATATACACACACTAAGTAAAATAAAGCCAACATTTTTAGTGTTGTAATGTCCACATAGTGAGCTACGGTTTTACAACCATTCAATTAAATATTTCCAAGTAAGAAGACTCAAATACATGAAGGCTCTATCATTGCCTGGGGCTTCATTTCAGCCAGTGGTGTTGGGAGAGTACCATCAGATTTTGAACCACCATTCATTACCATCTGCAAAGCTTCTAACTGGCAACAGCTTCATTTTTTCAGCATGAAAATACAGACTGCAATAGAACGCTATCAGCCATGGACTGGCCTCCCCAACGCCTGAACCTCAACATTACTGAAGCAGTGTGGGATCAATGCGACAGGAAATAACAAAAAGGCTGCCGACATCAAGAAAGGAACTTTGAATGGCCCTTAAGAAGCCTAGAGAGTTATTCCTTACTAGAAGGTTTTCTAAGAGAGGCCAACGTGAGTTGAAAAAGGAAGGTGGTCATTTAACTGTTTTTGCCTTATATTCATTTTATATTTGCGCATGTTTCTATTCATCACTGAACCTCCCTTTCATTTTCCTGAAAACATAAAGCAATGAGTAGTTGCTCGAACTTTTGCACAAACACATTTCCTTATATACTGCTAGCTAGTTAATCTGTATCTATAACTGAGTATCTAAAGTGTGTAAACAAATATAGTGGAGCAAATGCTGCGCCCACTCTCTAGACTCCCCTCTGCAGGCTGCAGCTATTCCTGCTAGAGAGCCAGGATGGCTAATTCCAGCCTGCAGCTATTTTATTAAGAAATATCCTAAGTTTTATTCAAAGATGCAGAAGATAATGTGCACAGATTTTATTTGAACTTCCTTATGCAGTAATGCTGTCGCTGTGTAAAACAAGCCAGTAGTGGAAGGGAGCAGCTAAAAACAATTCTTTCTCTGTCAATCTCTTGCTCTTTTAAAATAAATAAATAAATAAAGATTTAATTTATTCTTTTATCCTTTACCAAGTGAGTGGCAGACAGGAAATGACAAGTAGTAAATAGCTCAGGGCTGACTTGAGCCTGGGCTTCTGCAGTAGGCTTCCAGCTTATGGGTCACTTGCTAAACCAGGTAAACTTCATGAAAATACTGACTGTAAGAAATATAAAGTGGTTTTACATGTCCGAGCACAATATCAGTGTCACAAATCCAAGAGTTAGTGAAGCCTGTGAAGCCTTCAGCTGTCAGCCATCTTGGCTTTTTGAAACTGAAACTAGGGGCTGGATCTGACTGTGAAACTGATGGTCACAGCACGCCCAGTAGCCAAAGAGCACACCCTGGATAATCCTCTTTTATTTCAATAATGACTGCAATTTAATCAAATTAGGGTGTTTTAAACAGCCTGAAACTACTGACTGAAGCCATAAATTCTTCAAGGTTTTTACTGAGGTCACAGGACAAGGAACTGAGGCTGTATAAAACTAGTCACCAGATGCTGGCCAAGAATGCAGGCTTAACTTTTACTGCACTTTTACCATTGATCCCTGTGTTTGCTATAATTTGCTCTTGTTAAAATCTTGTTCAGTCGTATCGTTTATCATCTGCCTTCGTATTAGATTAGAGAAGCCGCCTGTTGAGCAGCTGGCTCGATGAACCTCAGAGTGAAGAACTTGTGTGCCCCATGTCTGCTTCTGCTAATCAAACCAAAAGGTCTGAGAATTAAGCCTGCTTCCTGCTGCAGACAAGTAATACAAATCTATCTATATTTCAGGAAATGTTTAAGAGGTTTACGTTTTTACATATCTAACAAGTTTTGCCTGATAAAATAAATAAATTAAAAAAAAATAAAGTGTTGAGGAACAATTTCCTTGTTTTTTTCTGTTTTATAAGATATGCCTCAACATGTTTGCCCAAAAGTAAGTAGACATTAAAAGTTCAGGTGCCAGAACCACTACCAATTTAAGTGCTAAAAGTCGTTATCAAACTGGATGAAAAATAAAAAAAATTCAATTTAATACTTATGCACTAGACCCCTATTCTCCAGGATATCGCTGCTATATGTTTTTACATGATAGAAAAATGTCATATCCAGATATCAATGACACAGCATGCAAAACGAGATTAAACCATGCATCAGACAGCCTCTGATGAGGATGAAAATAAGAGCTACTTAGACAACGTCCAGCTAAGTAAAATGCTTTGAAAAATATGCAAGAAACCCATTTTAAACCAAATATTGCAGACAGCCAATGACACCCCTCAGCCTCCTAGAAGATACACCTATGGTATCAATTTAAAACTCCTACATTGCTTCGTTCTTGAGTCATGTCATTCATAAACTTGGGTCTCCATGATGCCTGCCTCACTGGGCAGCAGGGTGATGACACCAATCAGCCTTTAAGGGTTGAGGGGTTTAAGAACAAACAAACAAACAAAAAAACCTACTATAGTGTATTTTCCAGGCTCTGGTCTCATCAGGTAGGATTTAAAAATAAAATTTGATCAGATTGCTTTTTTTTTTTTTTTTGGGGGGGGGGGGGGGGGTTCAATTTCCAATTAAAAGTTTCACTTTTCACCAAGGGGACCCATTACATTTGTTGTAGTTTGCACTAGTGCTGCAGGTAATTATTCTTATTGAGAAATGTGCACCCACATGAGGTGTTTCAATGGTGGCAAGTTCTTCCTTCCACCCATCTTCGTTTTAATGACAATCTTTTCAAAAGCAAAGTTCCACAAAGGTCCCAATCTCTTCCATTTCCACTCTGCTCCTTATTAAATGTTCCTGTCAGCACCTTTGTAAACAGTTCTTAGGAGGTAGGAACTTTTAGTGACATTTCAGGTAACAAAGGCAAGATAAGATCCTTTTGTGAAAAGAGCCACAGGTCTAAAAAGGAAGCAGTCATGCTCGAGTACACAATTATATAATTCTGTTTCGACAGCTTGCAGCTTTGAGTTTGGTGAAGCCGTTTTTCTGGTTCATCAAGACAAAATACACATTCGCAAAGCCTGATCTATAAAGAAATTGTTCTTTATGATTTGCCTAGTCAAATGAAGGCAAAAACCACAAGAAACAAGAAAAGACAATTGGGCTGGCCTACATAGTCACTGACCTCAAGGTCATCCAACACCCTTGGGATGAAATGAATAACACACCATTACTCAGAGGAAATGTGGTTGTGGTCAAATTGCTTCTAATACCTGCCTTTATAGTCGCAGATTAACCCTGTAAGCTCTAACATCAGGGTTAGGGTTGATGTGTTGCAGCATGCATGAACTACTACTTTAACACAGCTTTGTAACCATTCACACTCAAGTGTGAGGCACCCAAATGCTAAGGTGTGGATACTCAGAAATGACCACGCTTCAGCACTGGAACAGAAATGGAAAAAGTTCAAACAGGAAACAAAATGTATGAGGAGGATGTTTTCTGCAGAACATCTCATCTTTTCCTACGTTTTTAGCATCTCCCTCTTTGCCAGCTGGGAATCTGAGAACTCCTGTGTTGATGTATGATAGAGCTGCTGATATAAAGCATAATGCAAGCCTCTAGCAGTTTAATAGTACCCTAACTATGAAACTGCTATTGAAATTGCATACAGGGCAATATAAGCTGTATTACTATAAGAGTTGCTGCAGGGATAAACCTGTTGTATATTATTGTAAGGGCATTTCTGACTTACAGATTTTTCCAATTTGGCCTTCAACTATTTTTATTCCTTAAGGTGTTGAAAAAAAACAAATCTAAAGCAAACATGATAATCCCTTGCTCTTGGTCATGGTTCACCTTTTGTGCAGGGCTGACAGCAGGTCTGGACATGGTCTTGCGCGCTCTGTGTACGGTGACTGGCGCTGGAACCGGGGAAGGAGATAAACTGGGGCCATTTTTAGTGTCTGGTGTCCCCTGCCCCGGCTTTGTCCCTGTACTGGGGGCAGTCCTTAGTGCACCTGAACTCTGTGCACTCCCAGATGCCGAGGCAGGGAGGGTTTTGGCTGCATGCCCCCCTGTCGGTGAGCCCGAGGGCAACCAGTTAGTCCTGTGAGGGGAAACTCCCAAACCTGGTGCCGCTGCAGCGCTGCCTTCCTGCTCCGGCTGCTGCTGCTTAGTGAGAATGAATCCATTGCTTCCAGTAACAGAACCATGCGGTGGCTCCGTGTCAGACGTGCCATTTTCATTTAACAACAGTACAGTCTTGTTATTTCCTGTTGTCAGGTCCTTGTGGCTTGTGTCGTCGCTCTCGGTGCCGTTCAGCATCACCTCTGCTGCAGGGGAAAAGGCCAGTCTGTCTGCTACCTCTTTGTCCCCATCTTCGCATTCAAACAAGACAAATTAAATCACAATGTAAACCCATCATTTACACAAATAAAATACGTTCAAGCGTATTTAGACAAATACCTGACTTCTCTTCTCCATTGCTTCCTGGATCGAGTCCCTCTTTCTTTGTGGATCCACCTTTATCCACGCAGCTCTTGGCTAGACCAGCGGGCTGATTTAAAGAAAAACAAAAACCAAAAAAAGTACATGTGAGGGAAACTGTTAAATTAAGCTTTATTAAATACATTTTTTGTGGATAACATTATCAAGTGGCTGCTTAGTTTGTAATGCGTCTAAAAATAGGCCCCCCAGGTGTTCCTAAAGCCTAAGACTATCTGAAAAGTGAGTGTAAAGACATATTTCTTGATAGAAATACCCCAAAAAGTCTGGTTTTAGCTTCTCAAAGCCACATTTGTGATCCAGGCCTAAGCAGGCATATCTCTGAATTAAACCATCATCCTTCGATGCACCTAATCCTGTGTAAAATCCCTGTGTGCTTTTCAGTAATGTATCAGTGTCAGGAATACTGTAGAGCCAGCCAAGAGATTGGGGGCCACCACTATGCACTCTCATTGTCTCCGGCTTCTCTCCTTATATGCTACAACTAACCAGTGGAGCAACAGACGCCTGCCACAGCTTCAAAAGAAAACCAAATCACCCATCGACCGTCTTTACATCTCAGAGATAACAGCAGGAAACATAGACTCTTCCTCCGGAGCAGACCTTCATCTTCATGCTCACTCTGGAAAAACAGGCCCAAAGGAAACAGGAGGCCTTGAAGGAAAAATCATCGTGACTTCACTCTCATGCTTACTATTAAGGTCTACTTTGTTGCAAAGCCTTCTCTTTCAGCTCAAATATCAACATTTAGTCAATCTAGGCCAGTTCAACCTTGAGGAATTACACAGAACCAGCGCAGAAAATAAAGGTTTACACTTTCCCTAACCTCTTAAGACTCATTTAGGGCATATTTAGGGACAGACACGTGCTGATCAGTGGTGAGAGGTCATATCTGATGAGAAGTAAGTCAGGTACTGAAGCCGATTGCCCCAGGAAAACAGAGGACTCATTTTCTTCTCACATTAAGCCAATCAAATATAGTCTGAGTGGTCTGCCAAGCATCCTTTCTCCCTGTTTGCTTCCCAAGTGTCCACCATCCAGATAAAAGGCAAAGCCTATCCAAAAAAAAAAAAAAAATACACTTTGCATAAAATATCAGTTAACCTTTATGAAGGAAAGCAGAGGACACATTTTCTTCTCACACAAAGCCAATCAAAAGACCTGAGAGAGAATAAGGCCACTATAAGCTAATGGATTCAGTCAGTTACTCTAAAGCCTCTCCTCAATGGCTCAGACAGTCAGACTGTGTGAGTCCTGATCTGCTTACAACCGAGACTCCAACTAAATAAACCGTCAGGAAACACGTCCCTGTTCATGCTCCTGAGCCAAACATGAACCTAATCAATTAGCAACAAGTCCAGGCCAAGGACTGGTCTGTGAGGGTTTGTCCCCAAAGAACATCTAGTCTGGGACAACCCTCTTTGGTGTATGATCAACATGGGGGAATCTAGTGAACACTTGTGAGCGTCAAGAGAAGAAGAATCTTTTAGTTCTCCTCCCTTCCCCCCCCCAATGGTTTGAAGAAAGCCAGTTACACAAAAAACACACAAGCCTCAGCCCTCCCCCTAGTGGTGAAAAGTGGAACATACACAGTGGAGACAGGAGAAGGGGGAGGGAGGGAGGGAGGCAGAGAAGGCTGTCTGCAGATCGCCGCCATTTCGCAACCAGATTGTTTACTGACACAGCGCAGCCATTGCAGCAGTTTTCCACTAGATGGGGACTGAAGGGGTCTGGAAACTCATAGATGGGAATATGGAGGCTGCTGAAAGAAGCTCCAAAGCTGAAACCAAGGCTGTGAGAGCTAATCAGAGCCTAAGCTGCAACTATGAGTGCACAAAGAAGGCCCCAGTGGTTGAGTTACTAGTGATATTACACTATAAATATTAGAAAGAAGCTCATAGCACTATAAAGGATCAGCCTTTACTGTCCATACAACTTAATGTGAACCTCTTATGTGACAAGGCAGGTGCTGATGTGACCTATCTTTAGATCTGCTGAAAGAGACCTGAAAACAAGTCAGAGAGAGCTACCAAACCACAAACACATTACACAGGCAGCTATCAGGCTGCCGGGGCTGGCACTAAGTACCGAGTACCTAAGTACCCAGATGAGATAAAACAATAATGAACCCTGATCCCTCAAGAATGAAGAACCAATTTGCAAAACCTGTTCTCTGCTGTGATCTGCTTACATAAAAGTACCCCCGCCCCCATTACATGCTAATAAAAAAATCCTAAAAAATGCCCAATCGTACAGATCACCCTGACATTTAACTTGCTACCACTTCACAGTAACAGCCTGACACTGTGCTAAAGAAATCTGACAAAGAAGCTCTTTTTCCAGGTGGTTTAGGGATTGAAGCTGCAGACTGTAATTGCAAAAAACCCTCAGTTTGAATAGTCTGGGTGGTCTGTCATGCAGCCTCTCTTCTAGCTCATTTCCTGTCGTTTCCCAGCTGTCCACTGTCTAGATAAAAAGGCAAAGATAGCCTTAAAAAAATAATAATAATAATAATTGACTTGGCATAAAATTTCAGCTAACCTTTATGAATATGTCAATAATTAACCCGCCATGGGACACATTGTGCAAATGAACCAATGACCCCGAGTCAGAATCCAGCAGCTGGTAAACATAGCTCACATCACACCCCAATGTACTTCCTCTAAATTAATAAACAGCATCTGCAGTATATATCTGAACATACTGTAGCCTAGACAAGGGCCACAGTGACCTCATTACTACATACTGACCACTGAGAGAGTAGAGAAGAGAAGGGATTAAAGATAAAGGTATAACCAAAAAAAGGTGGCTGTACCTCACTTTAGAAAAATCAGGTAAATTTCAAGATCTTCAGGAGGTCACGCTTATCTTCCCATATTGAGATTGACATTTGTCATGAAGTGATTGCTCTAATTCAAAGGGAGCCGTCTCCAGTCACAGGATCCATCCATGCCATAATCACATCTCTCTGCTACCACACACACAAAAAACGCACAAACAAATCCTCTCTCCTTTAAGATCTAGTTTTCGATTTCAGGAATCCAGAGAAATCTGACAGATTAGAATTACTGACAGATGAGCAGCTCGAGGAGCACGTCTTAAATTAAAAAAACAAAACAAAACAAAAACAAAAGAAAGAAAGAAAAAACAAAAACAGAAACCTTCTCAAAGAGAAGACAGCAAGAGCTGAAACTAATTGGTAGTAACTTGGTCTAAAAGGAACTGGGAAGAAAGACTATGCATCTCCTCAGACCACTAAAAGCCAACTAAGGGTGAAGAATACAAAGCTAACATGTCGTTTCTCTTGTGCCTCCAGGAAGCATCATACCTGCTTTCTTCTCATGGCCTCCATTGAGGAGAAGAAGGCGGCAGAGAAGGAGTGAGTGAGGGAGAGTGTGTGTTTGAGAGAGAGAGAGAGAGAGAATGAGGGAAGGAGGGAGGACAGAGAGGGAGAGCGCGAGGATCTGTCGAACAGATTGTTCCTCCTTTCCTTTTCTTTCCCCGCATGCACATTCACCTCGCCGGTCATGTGACCTGGTGGCTCCCTCTGTCGGTCCTCTCTGTCAGAGGGTCTCCACAGAGCATGCTCAGTCATTTCCAACTGTAACACCACTCCATTCCCCCCCAAACTGGAAGACCCCCACTGCCAACGAAGACCCAAATCACCACCCAAAGGCTGCATACCCAACAAGAATAAGAGGAAAAAGCCTGAATAACCAGCACGTACAGACGGTTTTATATTCCTGTATTCATGCCAAATTCACTTATTCTATTTATACATATTTTGTAATTCCTTTCATCGTTTCATATAAAAATAATAAATCTTCTCATCAGTAAAGGATTTTTAAGCTCCAAAAAGCCTCGACAGTATGCAGGCACTGACGTTTCAGGTGGAGCAATGGAGAGAAGGAAGGAGGAGGTACAAGAAATGAGGCCCAAAACCAAACTGCTTTTCTTCATAGACAGCAGGCCACTTTTTGAACCTCTCAACAGGAGTATCTTTTGTCTCCACTCAGCTCAAGGCCAACAAACACCACTAAACATGGCCTGCCAGGCTCATGAAACAGATATTAAGTTATAGGCTGAGCAGCCATTAAAGAAGCCTGGAAACACTTAGAAAAGAAAGCACAAAAGGACCTGAAGATATCAGCCTACGAGATCAATCAAACTTAGCATAACATGTCAGTACAAAGGTTTTCCATCGTTGTTTTTGTTGTCTTTGTCGTACTTTGTTTTAATGTGATCAATGAATTGAATCATCTATCCAATAAAAAAAATGACATCAAGAGGAAGTATATCATTTTATTTTAGCATTTCTGCCAACAATTAACTCACAATCAATAAAAAAATCAAAAACATAAAAACAGGTTAGTTCTTTGGGAGACTTCCTGGACAGGTAGGAATGCAGATGTAGAAATGCTACAGCTTATACTGTTTCACAGCTAAACAATAACAAGCTAATCCTGACATGTGAGCTATGCAACATGCCCAAGACAATGACAATGGAAGCAGGTTGGGAGGCATACCTTTCTGACATCTTGGGTGTCTAAAACATGAAAATACTCAAGTTAATATGAATAAAAAGGAGAAAACAAGCAGTTCTAACAGAAAGCATTATACTTTATATTTCATGAATGTTCATTTTAATTCTGGCTTCTAAATTATGACAGCCAAATAATCAGGACATAATTATTACTCTCTCTGTATTAATTTTCTCTACAAAGCTCTCCTTTTCCTGCTCCAAATCAAGCACTCCCATTTCCATTATATAAGTGCATTTGTGCCCCTCCTAAAAAGCTCAGTGAGTCCCTGATGATAATAAAAAATAAAAATATTTTTTAAGAAGTACTCTTTCACAAGGAGCTATTCAGCTATTCTTCAAAGATCGCTAACCAGCCAAAACATGCTCTCAAATAACATCGGCTTAATGATCCATTTATGCTCGCCACAATGGCTTTGTGCGCTGATCAGGTGACGTCATCACACAGCCACATCCATTTGTACTCGTGAAATTACTCGGCACTGCTGCAGTAATCTCTCTCCACGATTTCT